TTTCTATTTTAATATTGAACAAATCTGACTTTCTAAATAGTGTGGCTATTATAGTGGCTGCAGGCATCCAATAAGTTCAGCCTATTAAACTGAAAAGTAACTGAATTTATGGCTGCTATAAACAGTGTCAGGTGAGCAGCAATACTTGAAGGAGCTGGACTGTTACAGTTGTTTATCAGTAAACATTTGCAAAATAAACTTCTCCTTTTATTCATGATAACTAGCTTCCCTGCGCTCAGAGCTAAACCATCAACATGCAGCAGCAATTGACCAGCTAAGGCACAACCATCAGCAGGAGTTGGTAGCTGCCAAACTGGAACTTGAAAGAAGCATAGAACTCGGCAGACGACAGGTATGATGCTTTACTGGTAACGTATTGTAAAATTGCATAATCAGTATTGGTTTTCTGTTAGCTCGAGGCAGTAACTGTTACGAACATGTAGGGAGGGATTTAATCCTTCAGAGTCAGCCAGCACCAGCAGATTCTGCATGCCTATCGGTTAGGTAAACTTTCTTGCTTAGCTTTTTCTTCCTTCAGAAAACTGAATTAGAATCCTTATAAAATCTCCCGAATCAAGGCAGTTTTCTTTCAGGATTGTCCAGCCATCTTAGTGCATGCTGGCTTTCCTTGGGAGGGAAGTGCCATTTCTCACAGATTCAGTTCTCAGCTGCGAACAGGACTTAAAAGGAAAAAAACCATTTCTCTCTAAAACCTAGGTGGTGTGGTGAAGAAGTGATTGATTGCTTAAAACAGAATGATTACTTCAAATTTAAAATCTCTTATTTTCAGGAGCCAAATTGGGAAAAATACAATTAGCTTCTAAAGAAAGCAGAGAAGACGACCTAACAGCATTCAAATATGTATATATTTTTTAATGACGTTCCAAAAACCCAAAGCCAACATGGACTACCTTTACTTCCAGGAGCAAACTGATTCTTTCACTTTTATCTTTCACTTTATACAGAATCAGTTTTTCAAGTAGTAACTAAAATGTCAAAGCTTCATCTCTGTTGAAGGGAAGCCATACTCATGGAAGTAAGAGGACCAGAAAATTATTTCTTTATTTGTATATAGAAGAGGCTTTTCAGCATTGCTTTACAGATAGTCTAGTACCAAAGAGGCATAGTGCTTTTAGAAGTATAGATTGAGGAAACAGGTATAACTGAATACAGCTTTTATACGTACGCAAACAAAGAACATAGTAAAAGGTGTTCCCTTCGTTTTCCCCTTCCCTGCCAATTAACAAGCACGAACACTAGAAGCAAAAATGTGGTTCTGTGAGCAGTGAAAGAAAACATGCAGGACTTAGTAAGATGTAGCTTCAGTTGTGTTCTGTTTAAGCCTAGAGTGAGCCACCCAAGTATGTCAGAAACAGATATTAAAGTACCACACCAAGAGTTTGATCCAGCAAAATGCCAGGTACTTTGGACTCAGTGTAGTGAGCTGCTACACATGTGTTTTAGTTGTATGCAATGTGCTTTAGTTGTGTTGCAAAGCAATTAGTTGTGTTTTCCTGTGTTAGAATGCTTCATCAGTTTACAGGATCAAAGCCGAAGTACATGCAGAGATGTCAGAAAAGGAGGATGATAATTTGCTAATTTTTGAAACACTTAAAGTACGTGGATATAACTTTTCCACTGCTTTTTCTTATAATCTTGATGTAGTTTTTGTACAGGAAAGCAGAGAGTTATTTTTCAAGTTCTATTTTTAAGGTTGTACTATAAAAACGCACATTAGGATATATTTGTATTTCCTGGATACATGAAGGCACAAAGCCACACAATTTTATATAAAACTACTTTGAAATGTATGTCTCTTGTCTATCTGTGCAAGCTATATGATGATCTATTGTTGTGCAACTGTAAGAGGTGAATGGAGGGGAACAGAGAACCCTGCAAAAAACTTGAAAAGGGTTAATTTTATTACAGACTTGTTCTTAACTGAGCAGAATCATCAAAATCATTAGGATGGGATCCAGATGGGTTCCAGAAAAGCTTCCCACGTGTGTTTAAATTAATCAAGGTGAAAAATCTCCAGATGTTAACTGCATTGAAATTTCTTATGTAAAACAAATGACTTTATTGATTTATTGTATACGTTATAAATACTATATAAATTAAAAGCATACATAAAACTAAGGACATTTGAGGTGCTATTTTGTACAAACAAAATTTAGAATAGAATGCAACCACACATAAATGCAAGTAGCTTACTTAGATAGACATGTATCCTGCATGTATATATGTCTTTATAGATATATGAGATGTAAAACTTTTGAATCACTGTGTTTGTTGGAGCAGCGCATACATTTTGTGCTATTTCATCAAGCTATGACTGCCATTTTGTTTCCCTGTATCATAAGTTGCAGAGATAGAAATCGAAAATACCACCCTGCTGGTTCCTAGCAGTATCTGGGGGTTTTTTGCAGGGGGGAGAGAAGGGGTTTGTTTGCTTTGCTTTGCTTTGTTTTTTTCACTTTTCGAATGTTGAGTCACCAAGATATGATATGATATGGACATGTCTAGATTGAAAACGTTTTGTAGAATCCCCTGTGTAGAAACTCGGTCTCTCCATTCATATACAGCTTTTCAGTATGGCTGAATCAAAAGCTCTGCTTTATATTTACTGTACTAAGTCCATTGAAAGTACATACTGCAGGTACTTGTTCTGTTTAAGAGAGTTCTATAGACAGAACAGATGTCTGGACTGAGTAGATGAGAGCAAGATTCAAACGCAAGAGTTTGGATTGCATATGCAATCAAGATGTATGTGGAAAGACAAAGGGCAATTACTGGGGTATCTTTATATAGGACAAACCACCAATGAATGCTCAAAATCAATCTTTAGTTGATCTTGTTTATCTGATGCTTAGTTCCCAATAAACTGGTTTCCAGAGATGCTAGTTTTCCAGATAGCTAAAATGCTTGCACGTTATCTGCAAGGACTTATCAATCACAAGATATGCACTTGAATGTTCATTTTCTGGAGTAATCCGTGAAGATTACTTTTGACCAGCACAAGAGGAACCAACACAATGAAAGACTTGACATAAATATTGCTACTGAGGCTCCAAAGCAAAATTTACTAGTACTCAATTAGACTTATATTTTGCAATAAAGACACTACAGGGTCAATACCACTGTTACCAAAGCATTTAATGTTAAGAGAAGCTACAGCAAATACAGGAAGTGGAAACTGCAGAAGGAGCTCATATCCTTTTTTTTTCAGGCTACATCAACCAGTGACCATCACCACCTAGCAGCGCTGATAGAAAACCAAACTCAAAGGGTATAATATAGCTTAGACCCAGTTTCAGATGGAGATTCCTTCCTCTCCGTCAGCAGGGCAGACAGAGAACCTTCTCTGAAACTCTCATTTAAGGCCATAGAAAAGCCCCTCATCTCAAACAACCTTGCATTTTAGTAAGAACAGCATTGAAGTGGCAAATACTGAAGGCCTGTACCTAGCAGTGTCCCCCAGGGGTCAGTCCTGGGGCCAGTCTTGTTCAGTGTATTCATCGATGACCTGGAGGAAGGGACAGAGTGCACCCTCAGCAAGTTTGCTGATGATACGAAAATGGGGGGAGAGGCTGACACACCGGAAGGCTGTGCTGCCATTCAGAGGGACCTGGACAGGCTGGAGAGCTGGGCGGAGAGGAACCTCCTGAAGTTCAACAAAGGCAAGTGCAGGGTCCTGCACCTGGGGAGGAAGAAACCCATGCACCAGGACAGGCTGGGAACTGACCTGCTGGAAAGGAGCTCTGCCAAGAAGGACCTGGGAGTGCTGGTGGACAACAAGTTAAACACGAGCCAATAATGTGCCCTTGTGGACCCTGCCCCTCTCCTCAGGCCTGGGGAGGCCTCACCTGGAGTACTGTGTCCAGTTCTGGGCTCCCCAGTCCAAGACTGCTCCATGGCACTCCTGGAGGGAGTCCAGCGGAGGGCTACCAAGATGATGAGGGGAGTGGAGCATCTCTCCTCTGAAGAAAGGCTGCGAGAGCTGGGCCTGTTCAGCCTGGAGAAGAGAAGACCTGAGGGGGGATCTCATCAATGTGTACAAGTATCTGAAGGGGGGGGATGTCGAGAGGACGAGGCCAGTCTCTTCTCCGTGGTGCCCAGCGACAGGACAAGAGGCAACGGGCACAAACTGAACCACAGACAGTTCCATCTGAACCTGAGGAAAAACCTCTTTGCTGTGAGGGTGACAGAGCACTGGCACAGGTTGCCCAGAGAGGTAGCGGAGTCTCCTTCCCTGGAGATATTCAAAACCTGCCTGGACGTGATCCTGGGCAATGTGCTCTAGAGGACCCTGCTTGAGGAGGGAGGTTGGACTAGATGATCTCCAGAGGTCCCTTCCAACCTCAACCATTCTGTGATCTGTCTTTGGCATGCTGCTTTGGACCAATTCTGATTATTAGATCCGCATTTGAGAAAGAAGGGGAATCACTTTCCTTACCTGCTTTTCTTTGACCAGATCGTTCACACCTAGAAGTAGTATAAGCCTGGGAATCAAATCATAGTGTTCTTTTTCACCATTAAAAAACATCTCAAATTCATCACTTTGTATTGGTACTAGCTGATCTAGAAGTTATTTCAAGATCTGCTTAAAAACGTTTCTGGAGCTCTGGCATTGATGACATTGCTTACATTCAAACATTTTCACAAATATTTGCTATTCTGATATTTCTCAGCCAATTAGAATCATATTTCCAAAATGAAGGATCACTTCATGCAACTGCTGAGCCAGTGACAGGTACCAGGCATAGTAAAATCCACTGGAAAGCAGATCCCTCCATGAATCCGTGTGACCAGGGTCAATCATGCAGGATTCCATGTACTTCCATAATATTCCAGCTTGGATTTATGACTTGTCTCTGCAGTGCAGCAGGAGTATAAATAAAAAATGATCAAATGACAAAGATCTGAGAAGATTCAGCTTACTTAAAAAAATAATACTCTCCTGCCTCTCTACGATATTGAATTATACATTGCTTGATACTAGTCACCTGTGACTAGGACATTACCTCAAGTATAGGCCTTTCTGTCAAAATTCCTTTACAACATGGAGCAATTTTGAGGAAAATAGCTAATGCAGCCCTTTTGAATGACAATAAATATCTGTGAAACAATAGCCAGATGAATGTGACAGACAAGCCTTGGATGTGACAACAGCAGCCATGGATGTAACAGACAGGGACACTGAAGGCATTAGGAATCATTAGGGCTCCCGAAATCAGAAATCCATACCTTTTGAAGGAGTTATTTTATAAACAGTTAAAGGGAGAACAACATGAACTCTTTAAGGCTCAAAGACTTCTTTGCAGACTCCGGGATTTATATAACAGTCCCATATAACAAACCAAGCCTTTTGTTCCAGTTGATAAATTGACGCAGTCCTGAAAAACTTTGTTTTCCAGCTTTTTTTTTCTTCAGCTTTATCTCTTATATTTTAACTCCATTCCACCAGTTTGCCCTGCCATGACACTGAAGATGAAAGTGCTGAAGATCTTTAGCCATGATTTGTCTATTTATATATGTTCTCTATACAGTGTTTTTGAAAAATACTTTAGGAAGTCGAATATTCTTTTTATTATCATCAACAATTAGGTTGCTGCTTCTAACATTTCAACACCAATTCCCACAGCAACACTTATTTTTCTTCAAACTGATATAACCTTTAAAGTAGGTGTCAACCTCAGCTCCTAGCAGTGGGGCTAGGCGTTGCCCTCTCCTTTTATTAAACAATCAGAATTACTACAAAAATTACAAAAATACTATCCATCTGGAAAACGGCGAGCACTCAGATTGACTGTCGACATCAAGGAAAATTTGGTCTTTCTCTTTGTAAGACATGTATCTGGTTTACTGTGCAGAGTGAAGTATATCCAGTGAACGGAACACTGTCATTTCCTGTTAGTGTAGTTCATTACATATTCCTTTTTGCCTCACACACAATAATACCTTTTAAATTCTCTCACAAATTGATTTGGTTTGTTACATAACTTTGATTTCTTCATTATTTGTATTTCTGCACAATAAAAAACAAAGTCTCTCAGTTTTAAGTGTAATTTGTCTCTGCATCCAAAAACTGAAAAAAAAAATTCCATTGAATGGAAAGTTCTGCTTGGTTACTGTCTTCCAAAAGCAAGTATTAGGCTTCTGAGAGACAATTTTATTAAAGTAATTTTTGCTGCTGCTGCTTATGTCATAGGAGAAAGAATTTTTGTGCCGAATATCAGATCTACAAGATGAACTGAGACACCGAGACCATCATATAGCTGAACTGGATAAAGAGATTCTGCATCTTCATGAGAATATAAGTGCACTGACCAAGGAACTGGAGTTTAAAGGGAAAGAAGTTCTTAGAATACGCAGTGAATCCAACCAACAGATCAGGTATGATTTTTTTCTACTCCAAACTTAAATGGTCTCTCGTGTATTGTTTTTCTTAAGATATTTTACCATTTGTTGCTTTTAGTTTTACCTCTTAATCGATTGGTGTTATATATCATTTAATCTTCTTTAGAAAAAGCGATGTCCACTACTAGTAAAGTTAGTGAATATTACCATACAATTAAGCTGCATTTCAGTAACATATTTTGGCTTATTTTAGTTACAATCCTCTCAAGTGTTTTTTAAAAATTCATTATATTAGTTTATTTAAAAAAGCATTAAAGGAGATGTATTTTCCATGAAATAAGCTAGAAGATTAGAAGGGATAGGAAGTAGTAGGTTTTGATGATTCAGTAATTCCTTTCTTTGTTGTCTGGTATTGCATAAAAGTCATTAAGAGCCTGGCAGAAAATCATGATGAACAAACAGTCTGATTTTAGAATAACTCTTTTCTCAACAAAAATAAATTAAACAGGATGCATGAGCAAGATTTAAGCAAGAAACATGAGAAAGAGCTGGATGTCTTGACAGCAGATCACATCAGAGAGAAACAAAGCATGCTGGCAGATTTTAATAAGACCCAAGAGCTGCTCAAGGAAATTAATTCAGCTTTACAGATTTCGTAAGTTTTATTGTATAAAAAAGTTCATATGTAGCTGCGTTTCAGTGAACAATAGTTTATTCTGGTGTCCATAAGTTACCAAAGATACTGCAGAGATACAGATATGCAAAAACCTCAGTCAAATATGGGGCCTAATCTTGCATTCTTTGGACAATACAGTTCCTGGAAGCTTCAGGGGAATTGACCAAGATAAACTATGATGGATTTGAGAGCCAAAAAAGTCAAGTAGAAAAAATATACAATCTGTGCAATTCTTAGAAAATTGGAGAAATCATGATTTTAAATATTTTCTCTCATTTTATCTTTTGTGAGAACACAGAAGTTTCTTCAATAAGTTTATAACTAGTACAGTATTTATTATAAAAGTGTCTGATTATACCAAGTGAATTGAGTGGTACAAACATTTTCAGATTTGCTGACACAGGAAAAATTAAAAATTTCTACTAGTATTCTCGGTAAGTGAAATGAATTATATGAGCATACCAATAGCAGAATGCTTACAGTGCCTCTGAGTCAAAATGCCACCTGAGGGTAAGACCACCACTTGGGCAGAGGTGCAGTAGTGGTATGTAGTTTAGCCAGTGTTTTCCTGTCCTCTGCAGATTTCTTTCTTATCCCTATTTATGATGTTACCCACTCAGAGTTTCCTGACATAGTCTTCACAAAGGGTTTTGTATTGGCAGCATAAAACATTTATGGCAGAGAAAAGAATTGGTTCCAAGTGTATGGTACAAAACTTTTCTAAGTAAATATCAGTTATTAATGGACAATAAATCGCATACATCCTCATAGGGCATGGGATTCTTGACAGCATCTGATTTTGTCTTAAAAATGTGAGCACCCCAAAATTTATCCTTAGATAAGTTGGATATAAAATTTATAGTTCTTATTCCTTTGTGCTTATCCACATACGCACTCTTGTGCTGTGATAAATGGTGGTAACTTGCCATTCAGTAAGTTAGGTGTAAACTACCTCCTGTTTACTGCTTTTATCTAGTATGAGTAACAGGTCTATGGGTAGCCACCACAAGTAGGTGCTGGAACTGTATACCCTAACTTTTACCCAAAGCTGTTTCTTTCTCCATGTCCTGAAATGCTGAGTTTACTTCATTTCCTGTACCTGGTTCTTGCTCAACATGGAGCTGCAGGGAAGTCGCTCTCATACCAATGGCATAAGGGGTAGCAAATAGATCAGTGCCCTGTGCCCTGACCGTGCTTCCAATATGTTATCTCTACTTACATTGTAGCAATTAGCTGTCAAAGGAGGAAACTATGTTGGAAAAAAGGAGTCTTTTATGCAAAGATGTCTTAACTAACGATTTCCAGTGTCTGCATTACCTGAAACACAACCTTGTGAACTTTTATGGAATGGAGCATCTAGGTCATAGTTATTTAGAGTGGGTATCATTAATTAGGTTCTCCAACTAGATTCTTTAAATTACATATTATCTCTTTGAAACAGAGAAGACAGTTCTCTGAAATATCTGAAAAGAAAATGACAGCTGTGCATAACTATGTGTTTATTATACTCTGGGGATTTGTTTACAATGGCTTAACCCAGCATGAAATGTATACACAAAATTAAGCCAGCTGAGCATATTTCTTTTCTGCTGAGTCAAACACTTTTTCTGCAAATAAAAACAGTCATGTTGTTCACATTCATAATGTTTTTTATAAATACATTATATAATCTCCTCAAGTTATGCGTAGGTTATTTGAAGGTTATAAATAATTGAATATGCAGTGTTTTCTCCAGTGCAGCACAAAGTCAAAATTGCACAGCTGCTTCTGAAGGGAAAGTACTTCTTTAAAATCAGAAGTGGTGTCTGTTTCTGGAATTAAGGTTGAGCTGACTAGACACCTTAGGTTTATAGTTTTTCTCAGGGTTCATTTGTTGTTTTATTTTTCCCCCTAAGCTTTTTAAATTCTGTATTCTGAAACGTAGTATGCTAATGTACGTGAAGGCTGAATACGGTGGACAAATATTTCAGTAGTTTCCTTTTGAACAATGTTTAGCATTATGAGTGTTACGTTTTAGAGACAAATAGTCATTTGGAATTGTCATTCGTCTTCAATACTTGTCCTTTATGAAGAAAAAACAGGAAATTTATGCTGTTAGTTTTGCGTTTCCTCTCTCAGTCGGCTTATTTCAGTTCTCTCCTTTAATGCTTTCCCACCAAGCATTTCAAATATTCTCATATTATTTCAAGTGTTTCTCAATTGTTACTTTCCTCTTAATCCCGATATCCTAATATCTGAGTGTTTATTGCTTTTCTTTCACAGCTTATTCCTTTATTTCCATCTCTAATGGTACAAAGTTGCTTTTGCAGAGAGGAATTAGCTACATATTAGTCTTCACTATTCTTGGATATCCGTGTCTCACTATGCTCCTCATGAGCTGAGGAAGTTGGTGCCAGCCTTGTCTGTCTATCCTGTTTCTCCAGTATCACAAGCATGCATCTTCATTCAGTGTAGATATCTATTAAAATAAAATGATACTGCTTTGTTCACCCAGCAATTCATTGCCAGCTTTTCAAAATTTACGTTAATATTAAATACTGTACAATGTAGGCCCTGCATTACACATAAGAATCAGTGTTATCTACATATTCTGTAATTCTACTGTCCGCATTTTTTATCTTTGAGTGTCTTATTTTCAGTCTGGCTTCCAAAAGGCTTTTTCTCCAAACACCTAGTACTACATGCACAGAACGGATGTTAAGATTTTAGAATTTTGGCCAGATGATTGTTATTTTCTGTAGTAAGGGTGCAGTTGTTACTCAATTTTTAACTAAAGTTGAATGATAATAACATTGAAATTTTACTTTGAGGTGAAACACAAGTTGTTTCTACTTTTACTCCTTGAACTGTCTTTTGTACTAATCAAAGGTGTGACTTTATTAATTCATCATTTAACACTGGACCAGACTAAAAGGAGTATTTTTCTTTCCTATAAAGTTTAGAAGAAATGGAAGAAAAATATAAAAACAGAGAATCAAGACCAGAAGATTTGCAGCTTATCTCAGAGCTGAAAGACCTAATTGCAGAGAGGGACCAGCTCATAAAGAAATTGATTGTAAGGCTTTTTATGCTCTCTTGGTTTAATATCTTGACAGACATAAATGTTAATCTAATGCAGGGTGTTTAAAATGTATTTCAAGTACCAGTTCTGCTAGCATATATTCGTATGCTTTTAGATGTTAATCCTGTAGTTTCAGTGACTCATAATAGGAAAATTAGTTAGATGCAGAGTGTTGGGGCTTTTTTTAGTTTTAAGTGTTTTTTTAGTTAAAAAAAATTGCAGTATGACCTTCATCAGAAGTATCCTATCTGCAATCCTGGAATAAGAAGTAAGCCATGCAAGTCATATAATAAATAGTCTCTTCTATGAGGTTTCTAAGAAGGTTTCAAACTTCCTGATGCACTGAGCTTCCCAAACTCAGACCTCAAGCAGCCTGACAGATTATTCTGATTATTTTTTTATGCAGAACCAAGTAGGAATGAGGAAATTCAAATGAATTAAAAATTAAAACTTAACTATACTGAATCTTTCCTAATGCATAATCCATTAGTCTATGCTCATTCTCAAGGGTAAAACAGACAGCAGAACTGCATGAATAGAAATGATATAGTATTTACATATAATAGTATATAAAACATACTAAATATGAAACGTAAGTGATAGAAATGTAGGTTTCTTTAAAATGTAAAACATCAAATTTATTTGAAATCATTTTATAGACAGATTTGGCCACTAACTAATTGAAATGCATAAAAAGAAGTTTCTATTTGTTCTTCTTTTAGGAGGACAAAAAATTCTATCAACTGGAGCTAGTTAACAGGGAGACTAACTACAACAAAATGTTTAATGCAAGCCCTAATGTTGGTGTTATTAATCCATTGGTGAAGGTATGTTCCATGGACTTCATTGCTAAAGTGAAAAAAAAGAAATCTTACTTAGGATATAATAAAAAGAAGTAATATATATATGTGTGTGTGTGTGTGTGTGTGTGTGTGTGTGTGTGTATACGTATATCACTCACTCTTTATTTAAAGAAACGTTCAAAACAAGGAACATAGTTTATCGTTTGTCTCTTTCTTTTTGTGTAGATGTGTTTGTTTCTGTTGTTGTGTAGGGATCACTGATATTGTTGCCCTAGTCTGATAAGCACAGATGACACAAAACTGTAAAATCTGGGTAGAAATGTGAAAGAAAGGCTACAGAAGGCAGGGCTGTATCCTATAAATACAGAACAGCAATGTCTGTAAACACTATTTTTTTCATTATTTTTCTTGGTTATTTTGGAAAGTGGAAGGGCAGTTTTATTTTTCAGGTGGTGCTTAGGAGGGAAGACCATTAGAAACACTGAAGGAGAGGGGACACTAAACAAAAGGATTAAGGGTTAAAAGAGGAAGGAAAAGACTGTGAGAAGGGCATGGAATGAGACTGAATGGAAAAAGATGGAGTGATAATAGAGAACTGGAGTGACAAACCAGACATGGACTGCGAGGGTAGCAGGAGATAAAAGCAGGCCGTTAGCCTTCCCAGCAAATGTTGAGTCCTATATGAGTGACAACACTTAGTAGCAGCCTTCTCCAGTTTTCTTCACCCTGGTGAAGAGCAGCCAATGAAGGCTACTGTACGAAAAGGTACAGTACCTTCTCTGTCATTTCAAAAGCCAGCAGCATTCCTACAGGAGGAACCCAGAGAGTCATGCCGCAGGCTACCTTTATTCCATTTCTTTTCACCACCTCAGCAGTAAGAATGAGTCCTCTAACATGTAATACATGCGTTCAGTAACTCCTAGGCTGTTAGACCTGCATGGAAAAGGGAAGAGATTTTTCGCAGCAGTAGGGGTCATGTGGGAAGGTGCTGAAGCAGGGGGAAACCCAAGGGGTACAGTGTAAGCAGCTGAGATGACCTAGAGCTTCAGTGATCAAGATTAACATAGGTTATGAGGTCCACATTGACTTGGAGTTCACACAGGTCTCAGCGAACAGTTGGTCTCAAAACATCCTTTATGCATTTGGGAAGTTGGTAACACTGAAAATCCAGTCAGGATTGAGTTCGGTGCCAATATCTACGTTTAAACATCTGCCTGATGGTGTCCACATGTGCACTGTGTGTGAGCATCCATTACAGTTAAGGGATATCTAATTAGTAGTCAATGAAGCTTAGAGCGTGGTCAACTTGAGCAGCCACTAGGTGTTTAGTTTAGGATTAGCTGAATCGCTCCCAAGTTCTCTTGATTGTATTGATCATATCCCCATCAGTTATGTAGACTTTGTGCAGAAACTCAAATTGCCACAGGCGCAGACAAGTTTGGGGTGAGTTAAAAGAAATCAAGGCATACAAAAGAAAGCAATATAATCTTGCACAATTCAGGGTTCTTTAACATTGGAATAATTTTACCTAGGATCCAGTTGTTTGGTTAGCAAGTAGGCAAGTGCATCTGAACAAGTAACACGTCTCTGTATGAAAGAAGGTCTCGCTAAGTTTTTAATCGATCAGGCTATGTTATTTATCTAAGCCTTATTATGATTTCATGTCAGATCAGGCATGAATATACAAATTCTGCTGCAAATTGTCAGCACTCTTCTACACTTTCCAGGAGCCCAGCAGCTCCGACGAGCTCATCTGCTGATGCCTTATACTGCATAAAAAGCTTAGCTTGGGCCCAGCAGAGACAATATCAGGACTACCAGATACAATTTGAATGCTTTGTCTTTATGTGATATAGATTGTTTCAACATTTTGGAAGTTTGTCTGGACCGCTCATTTTTAAAACTGTGAAATTTAACCATCAAGTGGATTAGTTTGTGCTTTGTGTGAAATCTGAAGCATTTGGGAGAATTACTTCAGCATCAGATTTCCATAGTGATAATTCATTTATTTTTCTCCTATGTTTCTATCACTTAAAATTGTTAAGATTTTAATAGTGTTGTATGCCAAAACATTTTGATCTCTCATTTCATGAATTGTGGACTATGTTACTTTATTTTGTGTAAGCATGTACTATGTTATTGGAGAATGAATTACAAAGAAAGTGAAAATCTCATTCTTTTTGCTTTTTTGTAATAAGAAAAAGACAGAAATGAGTTACTACGGGCTTTGCATATTAACGCATAATTAGAACCATTGCTGCATATATTAAAGCGTTTCAAATTTATGCAATGGATCTGTCTAGTATGTTGTTAGATCTAAAATTTCATAATACTTTGCATAAATTTCATGGAAACTACACATCATTTTGTGTCTCCAGTTTTGACTTCTTTAGAAGCATATAGATTGTTTTATATAGAATAAGATATAAACTATAATATTTTTCCAAGCATTTATATGGATAATACATTCAGGAAAATTTAGAATGCTTGAGAATAACTGTCCAGAAATAAGCCACCGATGAAGTATCCAGTTTTAATTACGGTGTATATTACCTGATGTGTTTTACATACTTGGTTACTTCTACTAAACTGTTTTTCCACTGTGATGTTATTTCTTGCTTCTTCAGCTTGAGGAAGTAAAGCACATGGGACGATCCTACTTTAATCCTTTGCAGCTAATGACTTTTTTCTATTATAGCTTTGTGTTAAATTGTTCGTTTTATTTTGCCAGTAACAAATGCATGCACCACTGTGCCTATATTAGCAGCATTTGCCTCTGCCAGCCCTGGAGAGGTCAGGCACTGAAATAAAAGCTAGCCGATAGCTCAGTGGCAGAGAGTACAAACAGTGGGACTCCACGTTCATCTTCGATTGAACTGTTGCCCACCCTTGAACAGAGCAGCTCTTGTCTTTCAAATGCATTTCTGCTTGGACATTATTATATAAAAACAACATGAGATTCCACTTGTCTTTCATTTTCTTCAATTCAAATTTAAATGATTTATAAGTTCTTAGGGTTTTTTTTTCTAGCTGCTTTGTTAGGGTTTTATATGTGTAATTGAAGGCGAGCATTTATTATATACTCAGTTAATATATAATTCATGAGAATAAATGAATCAAGTTTTATTTTGGGAAATGGGGATTTTTTTTTTTTTAATAATAGTACATGGAATATTCAGTAGAAGCCAGAAAACACATATGGCTCTCCGTAATAAAGCTATTAAAGAACTAGAGAATTATTTGAATTGTCCTTCTACACTAAAATATCTATACCAGTGGACAGGATAAATACTGATTCCTTTGTATGATGTGCTATGAACAGTAAAACAGTAATATCAGAATAATTCTTCAGTATTTTTGAATTCCGTGGTATACTCTCAGCAGGAGTATGGAGAGTATTAAAAAAAGAAAAAAGTTCAGTTGTGCCATCTGGTGTCTAAAGTGTTAGCTGTAGTAGAGTTAGAAGTCTGGCCTTTTTTCTTCTGTGTGCAGGAAACTGAACTACAACATAAGATTCTTTTTTTATCTTTAACAGTATTTCTATAATGTTTGCTAACTAGGAGGGCATCATTGCTTTAAGAAAAGAAATGTAGTTGGTTTTCTCGGTTCTGTATTTCACTTATCAAAATGTGCTTAAGTAATGAGGTGAAATATATTGGAGAGATTTACTTTTTTCTTCATTGACATTTACTGTAGTTACATTTGACAGCAGAGCTGTGTCACTAATACCAAGAAAGGATTTAAGTAAAAATGAAAGGTTTAACAGACTGAATGATAATTTTGTGGAAAACTTGCTATTTCCAATATCTTAGAATACAGCAAGATTTTGTATTGGAAAATCTTTAAAAATTAATCACTCATTGATTATTAAACTAGTTCTTAATAAGTTAATCATCTTGCTCAGACATTTGATTTTTCTGTGAAAATTTATGCTGTTCAGTTCTGGTCAAAGCAAATAGTAAAAATACAAATAGAAAAATATGCCACTCTGCCACAGTTGCTCCCCTTCCAAAAAAATGAAAACAACCACCAAGAAAACTTTTAAATCTGCAAATCTCCTCATCTGTCATGGTGCAAGGAGCCTTCCTTACATTTGTTATTTTTAATGCAGCAAAAGAAGAAGAATGATAAATCGACAAACAGGTTTGTGAGTGTCCCCAATCTAAGTGCTCTGGAATCTAGCGGAGTGGGCAATGGACATCCTAACCGCCTGGACCCCATTCCTAACTCACCCATCCACGATATTGAGTTCAACAGCAGCAAACCACTACCACAGCCAATACCACCCAAAGAGCCCAAGACGTTTTTGAGGTGAGCATTGCCTCACCAGTCTTTTTTTTCTTAACTCAGACAAATTTTGCATTCTTCTGAAATACAAATACTATTATGAAATTTTTAATTTTTACACTATATTTGTAACCTCTTTACAGTATTCCTTTTTGTTGAAGACCTTGTCGAAATGTGAAGTATTCTCTCACCTTTTCATAAGTCTTGACTACTCAACTTTGAAAACCTTTGTAGATACTTTAATTTAATTCATGTGCTTCCAATTGTTTGCATATATGAACAATTGTTTTAAATGTTTGTGTTATTTACTGATTGTCATTTAAGCACTGATATTAGCACAGGATTTCTTTTATTCAGTATTGTGTGATAATGGTTTTTACGTAAGAAAACTGTTTCTCTGTGTTACGTGAATGTTTTGTGTTTACCCTTTCCTCAACCTATATCAAATTGTTTCGTAAGCATCACTTTACTACAGAAAGAGGAAATGTGCATGCTTGGATGTTTAATGCTGAGCTTCCAATAATTAAAATCAGCATTAAAGTCTCAATTCTCTCAGGGATTGGTATAGTGAATTACATTATTTCCTTTTAAAAAAGGTATTTAAGAGGGAGGGAGGATTTAAATATCTTGGCTTCATGTGCCTACCTAGTGAATGCAATGAAGAAAGGCTATACTCTGTATTTCATAGGTACTGGTATCTTACCTCTAAGCTGGCAAATAAAAGTAATTGTAATGACCAGTTCCACAGTTGGTTGCTTACCCTCTCATCTGGTTGAGATGTGAAAGGCCACATACCTAGCAAATGCTAATTTAAAAGGAAAATAAGTAGTAGAATGTAAAATAGATAAGTAAAAACAGAGTATTTCAACAAAACAATCTTTTGTTAAATATACTGCGTTGCTTATTTTTTCCTGTGCATGTGCTGTGCGTGAGTATGCTCAGATACCTACAATATGCACGTGCATGAACTCATGAACTGTGATGCTGGAGTTTCTCTTCCAAATTGTTTTGTGCCTTGTATTATCCAGTAATGCAATAGGGATTATTTTATTACTGATTTTTATTGCCAAAGGAACTTTATTGTGTCTTTAAATTTAATTTAAATTTCAGTATTTTGCTAATTTTGTGAGAACTGGAGAGTGCTCAAGGGGGAGCAAATCTTGACTGCAGCGCACCAGTTTTTTTTCCTTAGTATATTAACGCGTTTTAAATGTGTGCATGAAACAATGCAAGTGATATTTCGGTGTGGTTAGTGTAAAGTATTAAAACAGTGTGTATTTTTGTTAAGTTGCCAACCAGTCCTTGTGAGCACATGTCTAATAATATGATGCTTGCATCATATTTCTGAAAATTAACTTTACCGCAGGAAAAGGATGCTAAAAGAGGGCCTTCTACAGTCACACTTTTCCAAGAAAACTCTTTTTATCCTCCCCAAAAACTTACAGCTGTTGATGAGATTTCTAAATAAGGTTTCCCAAAATATTATTTGCCCACCTTGTAATGTGGCTTCCAAACGGACCTATCTGTGCTGCTGATGCTCTCCAATGGAGTGGATGATCACAGATTCTATAGGGGGACATTAAACTCTATCCTGAGGCACACTGATAATTAATCCATGATAAAATAGACCGTGTTCTTTACCGTCTTCTCTGTGATTTCTTCTCCTTAACCTTTGCACTCTTTATTTAGTTGTGGGTTAAATTTTTTTTTTCTTTCTATGAATTTAGCCCTCCTCAGACTGAAGCTTCACCAGTGGCTTCACCAGATCCCCAGCGCCAAGAGTGGTTTGCCCGTTACTTCACATTCTGAGAGGAGATTTGTTTTTGTGGCACAGTGTAGTGTGGACTTCTTTTTATAAGAGCATGACCTTAAGTAAACCCTTCTGTGAACAAGCTTTCCTGTAATTTGTCAAACACTGTGAATGAGAGAGTATTTGTCTTTCTGATTTGAAAATGCACTGTATTTCACGTGATATTTGTTGGAATCACTTGACATGGTACTTATATAACGTGTGTAATTATAACTATTATTTTTATTTAAAATGGAAGAATCTTTAAACTTTGTAATTACTACACAATAAATTTTGGTAGAACAAACAATGATTTCCCCTTTTTTCCTATGAATATGTTTTTTTTCATTTATTGCATGTTGTTATAAATATGATTTAAATTGTAAAAGGAAAAAGGAATATAGTATGCATCTTTCTCCAATTAGGGCAGGATATGTTTAATCCATCCCAACTCTACTCTGTTACTTTGTAGCACTTTAAAAACTGACCTCTTTCTAACACTTAAAAGGAAGAATGCGAAGGAAATCAAGACTAGTATAGCTGCTAGCCTTCAGAGCTGAGTGATTTTGACAAGAGCTAACAGAAAGGAAAATGTTCATTGCGAGGTTTTGACTTCCTACCTACTGCTCATCAGCCTTTGCCCTCTAGTTATAACTTAACGTTTTAACATTGAATTTAACCAGAAGCTGTTCTCACAAATTATGTATTTATTTTATGAATACCAACAAAGACAAATGCTTGGAAAATCTGGAATATCATGCTAAGTATCTCTGCATAAATCAGGACTGCAGATTTTGATCTTATTGCCCTGCTTTGGATAAAATTCATGCCTGAAATGCAAAAATAAACAAAAAAAACTTTATCCATTTATACACACTACAGGATATAGGTCTTTCATTAAAACTTACGTACAGTCCGTTATCTATATTAAAGAGTTTTTTTTTTTGAAACTACTCTATGAAGTGCATGCTTTTTTCAGCTGGTGAGCATGATTCTCCAATCTACACCTTTTATGATGCCAGTGTTGCTCCAGAAATTTGAGGCAGCATGTAGAAAAATAAAGCCTAGTGTCTTTAATATTTATATTTTTTCATTCAAAGATTACCACAAAGTAACTCACACTGGTAGTCTCAGGGAGAAAATTGTCTCTTTGTTTTATGAATGTATTTTTAAGCTGAATCTCTTATCTTTCAAAAGCAGCAAAAATTATCTGAGCTATTATTTGAATAAGGTTTTAGTTGGCATATACAAAGGTACTGAGCTTTATTATTTCTTCTGAAGCCCTAACTGTATCCTTTTTCCCCCATATGCACAGAGGTAAATACCCAAATGAAGATACTTGCTAATTGCAATGAGTTTTATATGTAGCATATGTATAAAGGAAAAATTTGTATGTTTTCATATAAACAATATAAAATATTCTAAATGAAAATTTTAAAACTTATATCTTGTAATTCAGCTTGAAAACGCCACTGAAAGCTGTATTCTGGTGATGCTGTCATGGATTAAGGATGTATACAGCTGATTTTCTGTAGTTGATGGACTCAAATGTAGGTATATGCAAATTTTTAATTTTAGAAGCAAGCCATATTGGGCAAAATGACAGGTTTCTTGGCTGTTACCCAAATAAAATACACTAGATCATTTTGTTATAATGTTCTGAAGTGAGTGTTGTGTATTTTTTTCTTGCATGCTTTGGAAGTTGTTTAAAGGGCTCAGCTTTTCTCCCCCTTCCTCTACTTACTTTGTTTGTACTTCTTTACATACAGAATTAATAGCTGTAAACAGCAATTAAGAGAAAGTAATATTTGCATTCCGTTTACTTGTTCATATATTTTTACAGACTTCAGTAAGAAGTGTACACATTAGTTTTTGCTAGTAGGCATTGGTCTTCTGGAAGGGAGAAGATCAGGAAACACTCTGTTCCCATGTCTCTCAAAGTCAGCAGCTGTTGCAGTATCAATTTAGTTTCTTATAAAAACAAACAAAGAAACAAAAAACCCACAAAACTGAATAAACTGGCAAAAACTGAGTTTCTTTAAAATGGCACTGAGAACTCTGTAAAATATATTCCTAAAATATGTGACTGATGTGATCATTTTGGATTAATATAGGAACTTGCGTTATCCCATGATACCGTCACGTTTCTGTTTTTGCAGTAGCTAACTGATGCTTTAAAAAAAGCTAAAAGTGTACATAGCCATGAGTCTAGTTTTACAAAGTCTCTACTCACATATGTTGTCTTTCCTTTTGAGGTTTCCTTACATAAAACTTCTAGCAGTTTAATACACATCTCTGAGTAAGGAGGTGCAGAATTAATGTGAAATTGCTTGTACTGTTTTCAGGGGCAGGAAAATCTTTTGGCCCTCAGAAGCTATCTTTTGGTACTCTGACACATTAAAGTCAACTGTTAACTGCAGACCATCAGAACTTAACAAAACTTTTTTTCCTCACACCTTTTACCATTTTATTCACAAAGAAATTAAAAAGTCAGAGAGCAAACACAGAAGAATTTAGTATTTTATTATTATACTTCCCTATGGAGAAGGAAGTAACAAGCTGTAATTGATACAGTGCAAAATACAAAGGAATCTCTTGCTTAATCAGACTATCACTGTAATAATCAGTCTTAAGTTGTGGTCCTGTCCTTCAGTCTGGATTGTTTGATTTGCTTTTGTGATAAGAGCTTGAAGGCCAGTGAATTCTCCAGATCAGTAGAAAACTTTTCTAGCTGACACCATCTTATATGATCTGCTAGCACAAGGAGGAGCTACGTCACAAGAACCACATTGTTCTGTTTTGCAGCAGGACTTGTGTGCAGCAAGTATACTTGAAAAAAGGCCTAAACCTAACTGAAAAGCAAACTGGAATCAGTGCCAAAACAGAAATGGCGTTATCAAATTGACTCTGTCCTAACACAGCTTTTCAGCTACTTCAGTGTATACATATACTACGTTTAGCTGCGAATTCAAGGGAAGTATTACTTCAATGAGGAGTACTGACAACCAATTACATAGGTCAACATTATACAAATAAAATTTAATTTCTTCTATAATTTCTTCTATTTCTTCTACAGTCTCATGATGTTATTGTTCAACAAATAAATTGGATTATTTTTTCCTAATCTAGCATGAGTAGGTCTACATTTAATGTAATAATTTCAAATTAAATATCTTGTACTAATCTGTGATCACTTTAAACAGTAAGAAAATCTGTGTATGGTAACAGTGGAGAATATAGCACAGTTAGTCATACCAATCCTGTCTTTCTAAATGCTTTATATAATGCTGTAAAATCTTTTTTTTCCCCATTCTTAAAGCCTAACAATAATTTTTGTCACTCATGATGTAGTCTCTGGAAGTGTACCTTGCTGCCTTTTCAGACTAGAAACTCTTTCCATAAGGGACTGCTTGTGATGAACTGCACTTAAAAATCAAAAGAAGCATGCTTGGGAAGAAAGTTTCTGCTCCTGGAAGTGGATATTGTGGGATTTGGAGCTGTAGAACATGTTGCAGCATTTGTCTTTCTGCTCTGGCAGCTGAAAAAATGGGCATGTCTGTCCTTTCTTTTCCCTAAATTGTTAACAAATATATTATTCCGATAGCATACCTAGAAAATCCCAGTACTAACTTTTGACTAACAGTCATTCCCTTTTTTTCCAGTTTTAATCTTACGATGACCTCTTTAAACACTACCAGACATGAGGAATTCCTTTTGAAGATCAGTAGAATGTACTTATTAGATAGAAGCCAGACCTGCTCAGTGTGGCCCTTCACTTGTTAAAGGCTTATTTTTAAACCTACCTGCATTTTGTTGCATGATCCCCAAGTAAAGTTCACAGATTCTGCACTGAGAAAATGAGATCTCAAATTTTGATTTTCTGCTGTAATTTACTTCCCTTAGAGGGAAGCCGATTGAGCCACGTAGCTTAGAAAAATAGTGATTTTCAGCCTCCTCTGCAGTCAACGGAAAGAGGCAGCTTCAAGCATGATTCATCCCACTTATCTTTCTTGATTGGATAAAGACTGTACAGCAACAACAACTAATTTAAGTGCCTCGGATGCCTAAATTTAGGCTGGAGAAATCCTAGCCTGTCATTTTATTTATCTATTTATCTTTTTATTAATGTCTGCAAAAATGTAGCAGCTGGAAAAAAGCCAAGTGTTTTTCCATACAGGAACCATGTTTGTTTCCTGGTATGTTCAACGTAGTCCCATGCAATCCTGTTACTACTTTTCCTAGTCAAATGCTAAACCATTTTTTGCTATAACAAAGATAAATCTTTAATTTCTGGTATTGTTGTTTGGCTGCTCTTGGAAGTTGGGCACTGAACCCACTCTATTTAACTATATACCCCCTGGCAAAAATCTTCAAATGGAAATAGGATTTCATTTCCATATGCATGTATGTGTAACTGCGTAGAGGAATCAGCTTGCCGTTCTAAAGCCAATATATTTTGCAAGGTATTTTGGTCATGCAAGTACACATCCATTTCTTTGGATCTTTTACAGTAATGGGAAGTAATAATTACATAAGTGCATGTATTTGTGCATAAAACTGCCATCATTTTGAAAATCAGGTCTCTGATAGCACCTATGCTAGAACATATCCATCCTCAGTATTACATCCTTAATGCTGTTATTTCTGAATCGCCCTTCAAGTACTGGCTTGCCTAACCTCATGTGGCCGCTGAAATTTTCTTTCTGAGTGTATTTTTTTTGCTGGGCATTCTTGAAAGTTCCTGACATAACAAAATTATGGGTTTTTATCTTTGAATGCATGCAGTCTTTTCTTCAGCAGCTCTGATTGATTGTCCCTGTGCTTTGGAGCAGAAAGTGGGAATAACATTTGCTAAGTCATGAACGTTATGTTCAGGATATGCCTGAGCTGACTTCTGCCCATCTGCTGCAGGTCAGCTCATTAGCGTGATGGCCAGTTCTCTGCTCCTGAGGTGGAACAAGGCACCAACATTGAAAGGCAAAAGTTGCCTGTCTTGCATACGCCTAATGACTCCTTGACTATGAACTAGCAACATGCAGGGAGATGGTTTGATTCACTGCAGTTTGCAAAAGGGCTTCTACTTACATTCTACTATTCCCGTGTCAAAGTTTTTGGCTTCTAACCATGTCTTTTCAAACAACTGGGATGAGACTCATAACTAGATTTGAAGATAAAGGAGAAGGCCATTTAAGTAGATATAATTACATCTGCTGTAATTGCCAGATGTCTACTGGACTAGACCATGGACTAGATTTCATTTCCTGTAGGTTTATTTACAATCCTGTGCTCTCATGACATGAGACACCTAAGTTCTGCTTAAGTAGCTGTTTAGACATGCAATTTCCTGACCTCAGCCAACTGATGCACAGATCACTTCATAACCCCAAAACAGAATAAAGAGGATATATTGAAAATACAGATGAAAGCCACTTGGAAACAGAGTCGTTAGTTGAGGTTTATAAATACCTACTTATTTAATAGAATAAGGATACATAATGATCAATTGATTTCAGTTATTTCTGCAAATTCAGCATTTAGTATAAACCTGTATGATGTTTCTTTTTCTTTTCCTTTTTTTTTTTTCCAGAAGGCACTGAGAGAGCAGTCCTACGTGATTAAAACCAAGGAACACGTACTTGACATAACAGATATAGTCTGTAGTAAAAATATATGTTGATGCCTAAAAAGACCTGGAGCACAGACATGGAAAATGAGAATGAACAAACAAGACAACGGCAGAAATGAAATTATTTTAGGAAAAACTTCCACTACAAGACAACTGAGTAAAATTTGTAAGTTATAGATTCAGTTGAGCAGTCATTGTAATGGAGTCAACTTACAGTGATGGATTCTCAAACTCCAAATATACAGCATTTGTAATTCAATTTTTGATGAGATTTTTGTTACATCTAACAGTGACGTATGTGGAAAATTTTAGTTCCATCAGGGTGATACCCTGTTGCTGATTGCTGATCTCACTTGCCCACCTGCTGTGATACACTAGCCAGACAGAACTGTTAGAGAAAGGAAGCACAACTGACCCTCAGTAGCCCAACACCGCTAGCACAGATCTCCTAAGAGCTCGCAGCTCAGTATAACTATATTCACTTTTACCTTCTATGAATTATTGTAACGCCTGAATCCCTGTCGTAATAGCAAGTGGGGGAGGAGGGGAGAAGTGAACTCTCCTGCAACTACAAGGAGGAAGAGAGGAGGCAACAGGGGAGAGAGAAGAACCTGGTAAGGATAAGAGGTGAGACTGAAGGGAGAAAGAAGAAAAATGAATAGAAACAAAGCAGATAACCCTGTTTCCAGACCCTCATGTGCAACTGCTGTATACTGGACAGGTAGAAGCAAGGGAAAATCCACAAGCTTCTCACACGGTAAGTTAATTAGCTGCAAAGCCAGACAGCTGTAAGGGCAGGTATCTTGTGCTGGCCTTCTATCTACCATCAGGGAGCCAGGCAGAAACAGAACTTCCCTCTTTTACCTGACTGTTTAACTCGATTTCTCTTAAGAACAGAACTTGTTATTTGAATGGTTAGCTTTGGGCTCTTTAACTGCACAACTGTGTTAATATTATCATTTTAAAATATATACACACTTAGTCAATTCAAACTTTGTGGACTGTACAAATTGCACTGTAAGTTTCTAGGTTAACAATGAGATCTATGTAGGCAAACTATTGATCCTTTCTGGAGTCCTGTGTAGTCCTAAAGATGAGTTTATAGAGTGCCTGTCACTAAAGCAACTCATAGTTATTTTCAGTGTTAAGCATGGTATAGAAGTCTATTCACAATGAATAGCAGGCTGAACACAATTAGAAGCAGCTGCTGTCAGAAATATTGATAGCAGTGTTGCTAGGAAACGAGCAAAAGCTAAGCCTAAGAAAATAAAAGCATAATTCCATAATGATTACTGAAATCTGGCCTTAGAAATAATCAGGCCTTCCAAGTTCAATCTGACAGGCTAACAGAAAAGTTTAGAGAGCAACTAAGCCTTTAACTATATCCCCAATCATTAGCTATCATGGCTAAGCACAATGGAAAAAGTCGTCAGACTTCACGGTGTAAATATTATATGCAGCCTCAGTTGCAGCTGGCAATGAAAATGAAACTAAGCCAGAGACTTAAGCCCAAGCATCATGGTTAAACGAACACTCAGCTGCATTCCTTCTGTTAAGTCTGTATCTTTACCCAATCTGTGGGTCCAGGGAGCCCTTCTCAGCAGTTGTGCATCCTTGCTGGCTGTGTCCCAATTGTATGTTGGAATGGGTCATGTACCACTCCTACCACTGCATTAATGGGGAGTGCTTGCACCCTAAGACATCTCCAGATTGAGAACACAAACTATATTCCATGAAATTGAAAAAGAAGAGTTTTAAAGCTTTATGTTTTTCTTTACAAACATAAAAGATGGATCAGAAGTGATGTGAAAGCAAAAAATAGTAATACTGCCTTATGTGAGAGAGCCGGTTAGAGTGTAAAGTAGACGTGAACTAGGAAAGCATTCTGAACTCAGTACAAGAGAGCTTTTCAGAATGGTAACTGCCATCACTGTATCCATCCACCTGTTACGATGATTACTTTTTCTTGCTCCGTTTTGCACTGAGATTTCCAAAGGGATTTTCAAACGGGCAAGATGCACTTTTTTAAGCGCAGCTGAAATACAACTTTTTTGTTATTGAGTAGTATTTAAGGATAAGATTCTTTAGATCCACTAGTTTATTTTATAAACTGATTTGGGAAGGTTTTTGCTTTTTCTGTTTCAGATGCTCAACCGGATATCATGGTGATGGTTCTTTCAAGCAACTGCTCAAGCTGGAACAGCACATCATTCTTTCATTACTCAGCTAAGGATGTAACTATTACTAGGTTTTTTAATTATCATTATTGCATAATAATAAAATGATAAATACTTCAGGTTTTTGTTGTAGGAACCACTACGTAATTGCAGCCTTTACATAATACCAGTTACTTACTCTGTAGTTGTAATTAGCTCTGCCAGTTGCAGGCTGGTGAATCATTCTTCCTCCTGTTGCTCTAGGAGTCTAGGCTAGAAAAAGCGGAGTTTGAGGAGCAGAGAACATCACCTCCAGGAAATAACAAAGATAACAGCTCTGCCATATAAGAAAACAGATAACTGTGCTGATCTAACAAATCTGCAGAAATATCTGTGTCTCACCATTAGAAAAAAGCAACCTGGTTCTGGTACCTTGCAAGACAGCATCATAAACTGAGTAAAGTTCAGGCTGAAAAACTGCAGACACAGGGTTAGTCTCACACTCCACTCAGTCTTTACCAGAAATAGTTCTGAATGTTTACAGGGATCAATTTATATACTGTGTTGCAGATCTCAGCAGTACTTTCGCAACGGTATCTCTTCAACTAGCTAGAATAAGACCATTTTATAAACCAAGACATTTTGTGCCTCCAGTGTTAAGGGTTATAATATTTCCTCTTTATAGGCTCCTAAAGCAGGCTTAGACTTTTATTGTAAACAACAATTCCTTCAGATTAGGATTTAGGCAACACCTACAAATACTAAGGAAGTCGGTAATTTCAAGCCATGCAAGAGAGATACTTGGAGGTCTATTCACAGATTTACTAGACATGAGTCTTATATGCAAGAATCCTCTTCTGATACCTTGTCAAGTAGCAATTCAGATAAAGCCACATAGACAAATTCTGGAAAAAGGAGTAAGTGATTAAAAGTAACTGTAATTCCACCAAGCAGCTTTTGTCCAAACATTCCAAGAGCCTTCCCTTTTCCACCAATCAAACTTTCCTGGTATAACCTCATGGGTAAATAGACATTCAAAAGAGTTAACAGAGGTGAAGTAACCACTGCACCTTTCGTATTTATTAAGATCATTGTATTATTCAGATACGTATGGGGGAAAAAACATGTTAGACATCCAAATTAATTATATTAGTATAATTAAGTAGGTAAGAACAGCTATTTTGTATATTCAAGCCACGTACGATAGCTGGCAAATAAAAGATCTAAAGGACCTTGTTTTGTTTGAAACGTGTTGATCTCCCTCCCCTCACCTCTAAGTCACACTGAAGTATGAATTTTGTACATTTCCTCTGATAGTTTTTATTATAGAACTATTTGCACAGTTCTGATACTTGGCAATCGCATGGTACACTTTTTGGTTAAGACTTTATACGGGCACTAATTTTTGTTTCAATTAATTATATAACAGTAATTTATCATTAAGATAAGCAAACAATGGGAGGTCTTGATAGTAAGGAGCTCAGTAAAGATGTTTAAGACCCTTTAAACGCTTTGAAGTTAACAGGGCATTAGATTATTCACTATGGTATCATAAGACTTGTAAACGTGTAAAAGATACATGAATGCACTATTACATGTACTGAAATGATACATGTAATAATTCAGAGGACAGTCTACTTACTCGTACCTTGGAATTGACGGGAGCAGAATTCATTCACAAGAGCATAACATTCTGCGTGTCACAACAGCACATATGTTCTAGAAAGTAGATGAAGAGGTAGAAATAAGGCTTACTGCCTGACACACTGGGGCTATGTTGTACACCTTATGCCTGTAACTTAATTTTAAAACAGAAATAATATTTTAAAAAATAACATTTCAAATAGTTTAAACATGTCACTAGGGCATAATACATGCAGGGAGAAAAGAACATATAAATATTAAAAAATTTCAAATAATACACTGTAAAGGTTGGGCAAAAGTGAAAGCTTTAGCACCTCCAACAAATCTTGCTTTCTGGCTATATTAAAAATAAAATTCAAAAGCACCTCAGACTCGTTGATATGACTTGTCTTTCTTAAGAAGAGGAACTGGCTGGTTTGTTAGGCAGTGAGCTTCAAAGAGGCCAAGTTTAGACTTGATATAATTTGTACGCCTGTGGGGTAGCAGGAAGGGGCAGAAGACAACAGCCCCTCCCGTTAGCTTGGAGCTACCCCTGCTGCAGGGGACCCCGCTCCTTCCTTTAGTCCTCCCTAAGACTTGCAGCTCTCCCAAGCATGCTGAAAGCAGCTAGGAGCGGTGTCCCTTCCCAATGGGGAAACAATCGCAAAGACATCTAGGAAAAACGAAAACGTGCAAATGTGCAACACTTTATATATGGGAGGGGGGGAGGGGAGAGAGAAAAAAAGCCCTGTTGATGCATCTCTCGTTGCCGCTCATTTTCCCGGTACCGGAGGCAGCGAGTGAAGCCCCGGCGGCGACGCCGGTGCCGGCT